TGAAGGTGATATCTACACCCACAACCATGTTCAGAGAGAGCACGAAATTCTGGTTCTATTTCATAGGCTTCGACTCGTCTGAAATACTTTGAAGTGGTTAAAAAAATAGCAAACATTTTGTCTCGACATTTCCAGTCCAGCCCTTAAATTAAAATATTTCAAGATTTTTTAATAAATTAATTTCCAAAAATAACCTTGTCTTTCTTTTAGAGATAAAGCACATTTTGTACATCGACGATGAATGTTTGAAAGCATGTCTAAGAAAGTGATCCGTCGATTAAAAATTAATTCATCAATCAATTAATAAAATCCATTGAACAGTTTCAATTAGACATTTGATTCATTCTCTTAGATCTTTTCTTCACGATCCTTTCTCAATTAGTTTTGCTAGACGATGCCAGTTAATGTAAACAATATTTATAGAAAACTGAAACAATTGGTACACACACAAATTTGTGTTGCAATAATATCAACTTTTTTTAAAACACTAAAGGAATATGATATATGAATTTCCTAACTACAGTCATTTTCAAACATAAGCAAAGTTATGCACACAAATTATTAGCTGAGTATTCAAATTACTTGATGATTATATTATATAGTTTTTTTTTTCTATTTCAAATTTATATGTTGAAAATTATATTTAATGACGATGATATTGATTCGTATATTTAAATACAAATAAATAGGAATATTATCAAATTATAAAAATAGTATTATTGTAAACGCAGCATATATCTTTATCACAATTATATCTACAATGTTTCCTTCAAGACTCAAATATGATAATTAGTTAAATTTTACTTCTTAGACGGGCATGAATTACTACTGGTGATTATTTCCTAAAGTTTGTTTCGAATCATTTCTCTATTATTTTAAGACTAGACAAAAACGTATGACATACAAGGGAGCATTATTATACGAAATCTTATCGGACGAAAATCTAATATGGTGATTGTTATACATTTTTATTGTAGTGAATAACTCTATCCGTCATGATAGTTCTGTTTAAGTTAAGATTATAAAGAATTATGATGTGTCAATACGATGTTTATTTGAATGAGAAACATATATATTGAAAAATTGAAAAACAAAATAAGAATTATGAGAATTTTAAGTTTAGAGAAGACGTCGAAATTTTTGTACACGATGATTACTTGTGTCTGAAACATACAAGTTAAGTGATGCATCTAGAGCAATTCCTGCTGGAAAATAGAGTGTTTGAGATGTCTGTCCCATTACACCAGTGCCAACAATAGTACGTGCTGTTGTATTGACTATTGGATATTGACAGAAAAGTTGGATACGATGGTTATTGTTGTCTACGACAAACATATTATTATACGAATCAAGTTTAATAGAAACAGGATATTTGAGATGGGTCGAATCAATCCCAGCTATGCCGTTAACACCTGCCACTACAGTTCCTTGTGCAGCACCAGCTGACCATTTTACTATTGTATGCTGTTGTGAATTTACGGCATAAACAGTACCTACGGTGATCGATGTGTCAACAGCAAAGCCTTGTGGTAAATTAAGTTGAGTGGCACCGGCTCCTGTTCCTTGATTACCAGCTACTGCTGATCCATTTTTCCATATAGCTGAGTTAGAATTATCACAAGCATATATCGCATTATTAACGACTTGAACTCCCCACAAGGAACCATGAGAAACCCAGCTTGATGAAACTGTCAATCCTGCTGTATTACCATAGGGAAAATATTTTGTGATGAATCAACAAAGACATCTTTCGGTATATTGAAGGAAGTTGCACCTGAACCTGGGCTGCCGGTACCAGCAATTGTTGTGCCACTTGTTGCTCCTGTCAGCCATCGCTGAATACGATGATTTTGAGAATCGGCAATATAAAGAGTACCATTTGTTGGATCAACATAGATATTCCATGGTGAATCTAATTGACTGGAGTTACTACCTGGCGAGCCACTCAGACCAGCTACTGTTTCACCATTTGTATCCCATAACCACGTTGCGCCTAAAAGAATTAGTAAAAATATTCGTTTAGATTTACTTTGAAGTAAATATATTTAAATAAACGAACACGTTGGAGTTTCAGTGGTAGTTGTAGATGAGGTTGTCGATGTGGTTGTCGATGAAGTTGTCGAGCTACTTGTCGATGAGGTTGTCGATGTGGTTGTTGATGAAGTTGTCGAGCTAGTTGTTGATGAAGTTGTCCAGCTAGCTGTCGATGAAGTTGTCGAGCTAGTTGATGTAGAAGTTGTCGATGTAATTGACGTGAACGTTACTAAATTAGTTGCAGAGATTTATCTATCATCTTAGAGTTGCAAAACTAAGGTCCCTTATACAGTTGTCGCATAAAAAAATTAGTACGACTTTGTTTTTGATCAAATACCATCAGAATAAGGACTTTTTAAGATTTGATCGATGTCAAAAGAAGCACCATGCCTTTTAGCATTTACACTACAAAAACCAGGATTGTTTACTGAGCTTATATACAATGATAAATCAATCTTTGGAAATCATGCAAGTTTTCTACGCAAAAATTATTCGTACGATATCGAATATGAGAAAATTTTCGTTCGTCATGGATTGAAAAATATTAATTATGAAATCGTTAGATGTAGGGAAAAACAAGTTGAAACGTTCACTATTTATTTTTGCGAGACTAGATATCCTATTTTCATTGCTAACTTTCGCTGATGCCATTGACACATGTTCTTCGTTATTGCATTTTTTGAAATTGATTACGTCAATTATTGAACTTTTGTCAATTAGGTTAGACTATTTCGTTTGCTCTATATGCTAAGTTTATCTTAATATGTGTTCTTTCGTCTGTCCTTGTTTCGAGAGTATTCTCGATCTGTATTGTGTTCTTCTATGCGTATTTGAAATTTTTAGCACATTTAAGTTATGAATTCTCTTTCTTTTTGAAAACTAACGCGATAGTCATCTAAAAACAAGAATTCACTTTATTGAGTAAAATAACGAATGCTAAAAAGTAAGAAGCTTTCTGAAGATTTTCGGGAATCAGTTATACAAAATTATTTATTCGGTAAAAGTCTTCGTGAAATCGTCGAGATTGTTCAATGCAAAATCTACGATTTAATCGATTGTTAATAAATACAAAATACGAAGACGCTCGAGACAATACGTGGCCGTGGTAGAAAAAGAAAAATAACGCACACTGTTGATGAAATTATTATCAACAAAATACGACAAAATTATAGAAAATTTGACCAAATTATTCAAATGAACTTATTAATGAATTAGATATTTCTATTTTTGAAAGAACAATTCAATATCATCTGAATTAAGGTGATTATCAAGGTCGAATTACACGAAAGAAGCCGCTAGTATTGATATGAACGAAGGAGGAAGGGGGATGAGACAATGTGTAGTTTGTTTGGATCACGGGGATAACAAATGGTATGGCATAAGATTGATGAAGAAGTTTCGCCTGAATGTATTGTATCAAGAGCTCAGCAGAGTGATGAAAATTTGAAAATGTGGGATCTATGAGCAGAAAAGGATTAGGTGATTTAGTGTTTATTGAAGAAATGATGACTCGTGAAGTATTCAAAAGCATTTTATCGAAGCATTTAATTTCATGTGCCAAACATTTACGTATGCCTAAAAAAATTATTTTACAAATAGATGATGATCCAAAACATTAGGCTAAGATCGTGACAGAATGAATTAATTCTATGGGCATTGAATGTTTAACATGGCCTTCTAGTTCTCTTTATTTAAACACTATAGAACACTTGTCGAGTCATATTAGACGAGAACTTCAAAAGAAACCAGCAAAAAATCTCAAGGAGTTGAAGCAGAATATTTCATGATTTTGAGATTCAATTGGATCTAATATTACAAAGAAGTTGGTTGAATCAGTAGAAAACCAATTACAAGAGTGCACCAAACAGAAAGGGTGACCAACGCGTTATTGATGTCATTTCCCGTTTCAAGATAAAATTTGAAACTTATGGCAACATAACCTTTTTGTTGATTATTTGATAATAAGTTTCTGGTATGGTACTCGACTTTTTTTGAAAAAGATCCTTGTTTCAGATTTTCTCATAAAGATGTTTCAAAATAAAGATTCTACATTCTTTTTTGAATAACTAACTCTCCTTATTCAGTAAAATCTCAGCACAAAGAAAATACTACGAATATGTCACTCATTTTTTTCTAGATTCAATGACTGTATAATTAAGTTTCTTCAATTCATAAAGAACAAAAGTTTCCCGTCATCAATATCATAGTAATAATTTTTGCAGCAACTTTATATCGATTCTTCTGATACTTGATGAGTTTTTTACCTTCTATAATAGAATTAGTAGTTGTTTTTCCCGACGTTAGCCAAAGTGTGATTACAATAGCCAATACTAGTCCAGCTAATAGAGAACCAAGTAAAAAACCTTGAAGACAACATGAACACCAGTGACCCGATCCAATTTTTCTACATAGAATGAATATAATCATGTCAAGCTTAGGATAAATATGCAAAAAGTATTTCATCGAACCAAAATTTGGAGAAAAAAAGAATTCGATTCAAATAGTTATTCGATAAAACTTTATATGCATAGCTGACTTCTGTTCTTAACAGATAAAAACCAAGTTGTGAATTTCCAAGCTCTCACATCCTCTGGTTATACCGCTTCACCAACTTCTTCTACCTATACTAATATTATAGTAGTGTCAAAAAGCTTAAAACATCGAGAAAAAACCTCATTACTTCTATCACCCTCTTTCTTCCAGTTTCGTTACTTTTTTTTGAACTCCCCAATACTTCGTCGACTATGCACGTCTCTGTGTTGAACAACCCAGTTATTCATGAAAAATATCATAACGATAAAGATTCCAGCGATTCTTACTCAACTGTTTTCGCATAGACTTAAAAAACATGAATTGCAATAACATGACACTTCAAGCAACTGTCACACGATCATAAATATATCATTCATAATGAGAACATGTTGGTCCTGATCCCGATTCCCGTTTGAATCCCAGTCAAAAATAGTCCAGTCCAAATCTTGGTCTCCATCCCATTCAAAAACAATTGCTTGCAGGATCGAACCATGTTGCTGACGTCTATATATGAGATGCACGGTGCCTGTGTGCCTTACAGGCTACGAATAAATACAGTTCTTTTTATTTAGTTTTTTCAACTGAAAGGCCTAGCTAAATTATAATTAAATCCAAAATATTAGATCATTTGATTTTCCTTGTCAAAAACACGAGCCGAAACAATTACACGGGAACTATTCGACCTATAAAAATCGCTATTTTGGGGGCCTATTGAATGTTTTGACATTATCTCATCAATGCATTGATTGATTTACAGTTATTTTCTTTATCAAACACAGCAGTTTTATAGCTTTCAAAAAAAAAAGCATCAAAGAATAAAATCTCGAATGCAATACCTTACAATATTCATGAATTACTATCGAAGAAATGATACTTCTCTCTTTCATATACTTTCGAAGCACACTGATAACCTTGACCTAGCTGAAGACATGAAGAAAAGTACTCTTAAATAACTTTTTTGATCTACATAGCTTCGTTCACTAAAGATGAATTTGACACCTGTCCCTTGGTTTTGAAAGAGACTATACGGCTTTTACGAGTAGCTTAATGATCACGGAGCAGTGTAGACCATACTGTAGTCCGTGCCAATTTGATCTTCGTGTTCTTTATCCTAAACTAATTGATGTCAAAAGGCATATCTTGACAAAACTCATGTTTAATAGAAGAAGAACTAAGTGCGTAAGGATTAAGCACGAAACGTACAAATGAATTCTATGCCACAAAAGTATATTTCTCGTATTTTTGACAGTTTTCCACTTCTGACACTTCTACACTCTATTAACTAATCATTCAAATAATATCAATTTGTAGTCTGGCTTGCTTTCTATTACACGAGACATCTCCAAGCTTGAGCAAGCAATCCATTTGTGAGATAATGCCAAAGTACTGAACAAACATTCAAGATAGCGATTTTAGAAGTTAAAATTAAGTATGAACCTAGCCCGAGTAGTTTGGGCTCCGTCCAGCTCGCTTTGTTTTTACTGAGAAAACTACTTAAGCTTATATTTCGGGTTTGACCAGATCTTTCGTTTAAGGAAACTAAATAAAAGAAAAGCTTTTTCTATCGGCATCTAATAGTTAGGGCAGGATAGTCTTCTCGTGGACCCTTCTTAATTCTAGATCGGCTATTTTCAGAGTGGGTTGTTGTGGGTGTGTGCGGTTTCGGGTGGGTTGGTATGAGCTTTGGCTGGCTTAGAGTGAGTTGAAGTAGGCTTGGGGCCTATTTCGAACCATTGGAGTTTTCTTCAACCAGACCGATATGACAACCGACGAATTCGCCAGTAAAGTACCGATTTACAGAGCAGGTGCCAAGTATGACTTGAAGCGACGTGCAGTGCCTTTGAAATGATTTTTGGGTTGTATATTAAAGCTTTCTTTTTCCAGAAAATGACTTTGGGTGAGAACCCATGATTGAAGACTTTGGAAATCTCTCGATTGATATTATCTTTAAGCCAAACGGTATTGGAGTGGATTGAAGCGTACCTTATTAATATCCCATTCATCATGAACGCCCCATGTAGCTCTTTTGGAAATATTTATCCTACGCAATATATTATCTTTTAGTGTAAACTGCAGAGAAAAGTGAGGACAATTTTTTGGATTCAGAACAGGATAGATATAGGTTAGCAAAATAAGACTTTTTCTGTCTAATGAGCAACAGGGCTGCCATAGGGTGTTGGTGTGGCTGTTTAGATACGGCTAACGAGACAACTAAAGCCCATACCAACGTCCACAATATGTTCGTAGTACTTGTTCGTACTCTATAGCCAGATAAAAACGCCTTTGATGAAAATAGTAAGTTTTTCATGACTTTTATTAGTATGCTGTGCATTGTATCTAGTGAACAGGAAAAATACTTAAATAAGATATAGAATTTTGATAGGAATACTCCACCCAAAGTCAGGATATGTATGATAGCCTTGACGTTGCATGTAGTATCAGGTACTATTTCATATTATTGGAATTTTAATAGAAGGTGCAATTTTCACTGCAGCCTCAGTAGAATCCAATATACTGAATAAAAGCAGATAACACATACAAGATTAGATAGAGAAAGTCTTCCGCTGCCAATCTACATATGTCTCGTTTTGACGCCAAATATCCGACTGAAACTTGTAGTCGTCGTTCGATTTATTCAGTTATTAGAGAAAATAAAAGCATTTATCTTATCTTATAAAATAAATTTCAAATCATTGTGATGTTTACAATCATAAAAGCCAGAAGTAAAGCTAGCTAGTCCTTGATGTTGTTTCCACTTAGTATTTTTTAGAGAAGTGACATACCTACGATCATTTTGCTTTCTATTATCTTCAGCCTGATCAGTATCATTACTCCAGTCGTTAAAAGTAGAGATAGGTGAAAATTGACCAGAGATAGATTGTAATAATGTTGGAATTGTGTTTTGCTTGTCGTTCAATGGAGGTTCTTCGTCCAAATCATTCGTTTCCCACTTACTTAAGTGTAATGATGGCTGCAAGGTAGTAGTAACATTCATATTCACATTCATAATAAAACCTATATCAATGCCAGCTTTTTAATGCATCGAAGAAAATTTATATGTGTGTGAGAACTTATACGAGATCTTCTGTTGATAGGATTATTGTTAATCAAGGATTCGAATAAAAATTGGATAGTGAACAAAAGAACAAAATCGCAACTTTATTTGCTTTTATATCGCATTCTATGAATGGATGCGGTATATGGCTTCAGCACGAATAACAAGCTAATCAAGTGGTCCATATTCCAAACACTAAATCAAATAATAAAAAAGAAAAAAAAATGTTGTTTTAAGCTTCATCAAACCAATTCCGAATTGAATTTCATATTATGCTAGAGAGAAGCAAGCAGAGGCATGCAGCAGAAAAAACACATCGGTGCTTGAAAAACAAACAGTGAACATGAAAGTTAGTATAGTATCAAATCAAAAGTGACACATCATTTTTATTATATTGGAAATAAATAATGAAACTAAATATTTTGTTTCAATGGCAGTGGCCACTTGGCGCTACGAAAATTAGTTGCAATGTAGAATTGGTCAAATGTTTAAGAGAAACATAGTAGTTCTTCTTCATTTCCATAAAAACTTCAACCCACACATATGTGTTTCAATTACAGAGCACAAAGTGACGCTGAGGGTGATATGTGAACAATACGTATGTGTCCTAAGGGGTGGGTCAGTAGATGATCCTATCGATTAGCAGTAACCGTATGTTGACATTCACCTTTCAAATTTATGAAAATATGAAAACCAGAATTTTACTAAGGATTCGTATTTGTACTCCTCGTTGGTGTCGTTTTCCTTGAATAGATTATTAGTTAGTTTCTGAACCTGTCTGGGTTATTTCTTGGTGATACTTATAAAAATTTTTGGCAATTATAATTTTCGGCATTTCGACCAATTCTACTCTGCAACTAATTGTCGTTTAATTTATTGTCGTAAAACCCTTTTCTTTACATATAAAGCATCTATCTTTTAGAAAAATAGTTGATATCTAATTTATAATCATCGAAAGTAATGATAACCGAGAAAAAAATGACTTCTTTGCAGTAGAAAAAGTAAAAAGAATTTTATTGTTTATTTCACATTCAACATCCAATTAAAAAGATATACACCGTTTTACTGATATTTTTAAAAGATTTGATAAAAGTATTTTTTTTTCTCATATAGATTTTAACATGGTGAATATTTTGTTTGTAAATAATTAATTAAACCTTGTGTTTATGCTATATTGAATTCTCATCATATAGTAACTAATGGATTGAGAAATTCTGTATTTTTTTGATAAGTTATTGTCGCAACAGAATAATTAAGAGCAGTTTTTGAAATATCTATTCCATTATATAACCAAGCATTTCCTTGATCTAGAAATTCAATTCTACAAGCGGCAAGAAATGTTTCACTACCTTTCATTGGCATATCATGACTTAATAGATTAGCAAGAT